TTCTATTTGGCAGTGTCTCAAGAAAAGACGACTTGTCTTTGTAACTTTCAAACACAGGTAAATCTGGACTCACATAGATTTAAAGGCTCAAATTTCAACGGTGAGCTGTGAACATTATTACTGATTGGCTCAGCTAAAAAACAGTTTCTGAGGCTAAGGTATAATTGGTCAAAAAAATGGCACATCTGTCCCTTTAAATTGTAGTCCAAACATAATTTGAATTTAAATTTTCAAATCAGTTCAAAGAAAAACCAGAAAATCATTATAACTTTTGAGACTATAAATTCTAGACTGGTTTTGACAACTTGTTATACACTTATCACAATCCACATTGCTAAAAAAAACTGTATTTTAGTCGTTTTTTTTTTTTTCATTCAGCTTGTAAAATTGTGATAGGGTGCCAAATACAAAACTTGGTATTTAATTTAATTGTTGTCTGGTTTTATAATACATCTGTATGATTTAAAGAGCACATAATTACTAAATATTAACCTTACTAACATTAACTATTGCTCTCTCTAATCTCTTAATTCAAACTGGTCTCACTGGACAATGGCTGAACTGTCTTTAGGGTAGTTAGGCCAGTGAGTTGCTGGTGAGTTTTCATCACTTTAGATCTCCATAGTTTCACTTGGACCTTGGATACAAAACGGAGTGGTTTCTTTTCAATCTTTTGAAATAATATATATCTGCTTGGCGCCTAAATTTTCTACCAAGTTCTACTATCTTTGGAACAATTTTTCTTCAGGTATGTGTGTTTGGGTTATTATCTAGGGTAATTGCAGTATTTGGGTGACTATATTTTGATAGCAAGAAGAGAAATGTAGTAATGTTCTAGCTATGCATAGCATCTGGCAGCCATATTGAATATTTCTGTTTCACCATTTAAGACACCACATTTTAATTTGTATAATAATAATCCTTTATTTAATTACAGTTGTAGAAAATAATATAAGTTAAGATAACATCAGTTATCATCTAAACACCCCATCTTTGAGTTAGTATTCATGTGTACATTCTCTGTAGGCCTATATATTATCCATATTAATTTATCATAAGGTTCTATATTTAATTATGTGCATATTATTATTTAGCTTACTGTGATAATAATATTCGGTGTTTTATGTTTTAATTGTATTATATTTGTTATTAATTGTGTATATTAATATTACAGGGTGTTTCTTTATGATGTAATAAAGTTTATAAGATTCAGAGATAGTTTTTATCTGAGCCAACCCACATCGAAGTTAGCCCGGCTACAAAATAAATTTGAAAGAAGACGGAGAGACATTTTCATTGAGTTGTTAACGACGATTTGTTTAATCTACCAACCTCATTGCTTATAGTACAGAGCTTGCAAAGTCTCAAAATTCACCAACAGTTTCATTCTGGGTGTTGATCCAAGTTTTCATTGAGCATCAATACTCAGAGAGGCAGCCATAGTGAAATCCAGAAGAAGGTTGTCACGTGCTTTACACGTTGACCTTATGTGACGTTGGAAAGCAAATGTCTTTTATATCTGTTATGATAAATCAGAATTCCGGCCTATTTAACTACATGGAGCAAAGCTATCCCCTCTATACTTCTCCAATAAAATTAACTCTTTGTCCAGTGAAAACGTTTCTATTAGTAGCTAATTGATTCGATATGGTTCATTTTGCCCTTTTTTGAATTTATGGGAAATTATTCAATTTTAAGAAGACTAAGATGTGAGAGGGCTAGAACTGGTACAGAACTTTAAATTGACTCTCCATTAGGCTACTTTGATCGTAAGGATTTCAAACCTCGACCAAAGGAATCAGTTGTTTTACATTTTAAAAAAATGGATCTTGGCTTCGAATGCTACAAATCCGATGAGATATTTTGCCTCAAAGTATTTAAAATTTTACTTATGTCGGAAAAAGTTTTTATGAAAAATTTACGCCTTAAGCTAGAGAAATGTGTCTTTGGAGCCATCTGAATATTTTAACTAAAAACCCCTAGTGTCAATTTTAAACATTACGTAAACTTTTTAAGTTCGATATACTTTTCGTTAGGTGTAAGAAAACTGCTATACGAATTTACGCAAAATGAACGCCTAATTGTAGAGAAATGTATCGAGTCTTTATGAGACCTCACACATAAACTAGTTAAAACCCTAGCAAGCACCCCGGCCACCGCAGAAACGTCATTGCTCATAGACCTAACTTTGAGTCATGATTGATAATCACCCGAATCAAGGCAAAGTATATGTAATCACAAATTACCAATATAGCTAAATCTGTTTTTGATGATGTTTTTTTTTAATAACGTATGCATATGTTGGTATTGTTCTCAAAATAAAATTATAACCATTAGTTGGAGATGACCAGATACTTGTTTCTCACCAGTCACTTAATAGCCAATTTGTTTCACATTGTTCTACACCAAATTTGGAAAGCGCCTTTGAAAGGGCATTAAATTGAGGAAATAGATTATTGTTGAACAAGTAGACATGAAATTATGTTTGATCATCATTCTATTATTACTCTAAGGTATCAATATAAGACAATTACTAATAGACAATGTCTTCAAGCAATTCTTTCCTCTAACGTATCTTCACAATGCCAAGCTAAGCTGGTAGGTAGGTAGATGTTGGTAGCCGTAATAGTTGGTAGTTTGATTGGTTCAAATTGGATGATTCTGTGATGTTGGTTTGGTTGTTGATAATGCGTTAGATCTGGTCGGGTCGAATGACATGGAGGTGATGCCAAGTTATTACGAACTTCGTACTTATACATTGACTGCAACAGCTACCTTTCTTGTATCAATACTAAATGCAGCGATTTGATTGGATTGTACACATCCAAACAAAACCCTCGACTAAAAAGCGCAAACAAACGTAAACACAAGCCGATTTAAGAGCGCAAACAATAGTAAACATAAGCAGACTAAAGGGCGCAAACAAGAGTTAACACAAGCCGACAAAAAAGCGCAAACAAAAGTTAACAAGCCGACTAAAAAGCGCAATTAAAAGTTAACAAGCCGACTAAAACGCGCAAACAAGCGTTAACAAGCTGACTAAAAAGCGCAAATAAGAGTTAACAAGCTGACTAAAAAGCGCAAACAAGAGTTAACAATAGCTTTTTAGTCGTACCGTTATTTTCATTTGCCGATTTCAAAGCATGTCTGTTGGATTTTCCTTCTCGACATTACCCATCGGCTATTCGGCAAACTTTGGCTTGAGCAGAGACCTCGTTTGATTTTGGACAAGGTCAATTATATTGGTGGTTGCTCGGATGATTCTTTTTTTTATAATAACCGCTTTCTATGGACTATATAGATTGTTAGAATAGTGAAATTAATGACATATTGGACTTGAACGATTTTTTCACCATTTTAAGTAAATGCTCTAAACATGAAGACTCCATCGTCTACGAACATATCGTGGTCGTAAGTTCCTATAAGGGATATATAATCGAGACGGCATTTGTCTACACTGTTCAATATTCTGTATTAGACTTAAGAGTTCCTTGATAACCACTCTTTACAAGATAAACCGTTTCTCTCCTCATTTTACCATCAACAAAGCCTTTCTTTTCCATTATAGTGTACATTTTGGTCTACGTCTAGAAGACTGTTATAACGTTTTGTCTGGGTTCACTACCTCTAGGGCAGTAGTTGAACAAGCAGTCGATTGTTGATGTCACCTATGGATATTTGAATAAAAGGAAGAGAATTGGACGACTCACAATTGATTCATCCTAATGTTCCAGTATATTGAAGATTTGGAAACGAGTGTCTCAATCTAGCTATAATAGTAATACACAATTTTCTTAATTATAGTTTTGGAGTAGAAATTTGTTGTTTTCGAGCGGAGATTGTCTAGTCAATGTAATTTTGTTTCCAGGCATATTGAGGTGACCTAATTAAAGGCTCTAACCAATACTCCTATCTTACAATATTGGGGCGTAAACGTAAAGACAAATGGTATTTAGCAGGCCAATAAGTTACCTATTTCGATTTAACAACTACTATTGAAAATAAGACCCTATCTAAATAACTCAAGTTAATATCCACGCAAGACTCGTAACGCAAAACTTCTAATGAAGAGGAGGTGGTAGATGACAACACCGCTTTACTTGGGCAACAGAATTGTCAAGGGGAGCTGACAGACAATTCTTTCACTGCGTACAAGTAATAAGAAATTTGAAAGTGGAAAGGGGTGGGAAAGGTTTGGGGGGGGGGGGGGGAACAATGCTGGGCCATACTCCCTTACCCCACACCTCGTATATAAACCTTATTTGCTCACTAATACCCCAGATTTGATATCCGTGGTAGTTGGTAGTTAAACCAGCATCAATCGGATGGTTCGGTACTGTTGAATTGTTAGTCTGGAATGCTTCAAATCTGATACATGCTAATGAAATTCCGCCCCAAATAGAGTGGCTTGAGTTACTCAAAACCCGTTATAATCATGATTATTCTTATAATGAATGGTAATCGAATGCTTGTCGTTGGTTTTGTTTTAGTTTGGTTACATTACCTGGTATGAATCGGTTAATGCTAAGGTGGTGATAAAACCAGAATGCATTTCCGATGTCAAGTAATTACGAACTGTGGCTGAATCACGGCATGCAGAGATTTGATTGGATTGTACGCTAGTGAATACAGCCATCGACATAAAGACAATTAACATGTAGGCTTTTGAATGACAGACATCTGTCGAGGACTTTCATAGGTGAGCTGTGAACAATGTAGCCTAACACTTAACTAAAAAAATCCTGATCCTGAGACTTAAGTCAAACGGATGGCGAATCTGTCCCTTAAACACTTTAGTGGCTATTTCTTTATTGGTTGCTTTTAAAGCAAGATGGTATATGCTGCTGCATTTATAAAATTTCGTTCTCATAAAAGGTTTTTGGACTAACTATCATCTTATCCCAGAGGAACATTTTCCAGAAGTATTCGATGAATGTAAAATCCAAGTCTTCAATTTACGCCAGAGAGTTATCTTCCCACATCGCAAAATATCAACAAACATGGCTGCCATTGGAAGACAGGTAATCATAGAACAAGATGTTTTGGAGAATAAAACCACCTAAACACAAATGAAACGTATTTTGGTAAATGATACCACATAATCAACAAGCCAGAGCAGGGATTCATAAATGAAATTTACGAATTGCCTGTCATGTTACCGAATTTATCACCCTTTTATTAAGTGGTCCGAGTTGCCTCGACACAAAATGTCAAACATTCAATGTCAAATTATAAAGCTGTCACTGTGTCATACGATATTTTTCTATGTCAGTGATGGCTACTTTAATATTGAATACTTTTCTTCCATAATGAATGTTGTTTGAATTAAAAAAATCTGAGAAAAGTTGTAAAATTCTGAACTTGCACATATAGCTTTAGAGTTGCATCATCACATATTTGACCTACTTTTGTATTATTTATTGCCTGTAGTAAAAGGTATCTCTATGTACTACTATCTACGCTAATACAAGCCTTACTAATATATGAATAGATTATTTGGCACTTTTTGACTGCACAATTAAATCACATTATGGGATTCCTTTCATATGCTAGCCCATTATTGAAAGTATGTATACAATACAATTTTGGCAAAGTCATCATGGAGTAACTGCTTTGAGAGATGTATGTAACTTTGCCTCACAACCCTTTGACTTAACCTGATAAACACCATGTCACAAAATGCCATCGCTGGAGAGGGTAGAAATGTGATTGGTTAAAGCAGATATCATGGAGTTAGGTCAAAAGGTTATTTAACGAACATTTAAGAGTTATCAAGGTGTAAACTTAAAGGGTCAAATTTTGAGAGGTTGATTTGAGTTTTGAATTTATGTAAATAAAATGTACGAACAACACATAATTCCTTCAAAAATACATCAAACTGGGAATTTTACTCATTATGGACAAATGGACTTAAAGGCTCCAATTTGGACTGTGAGCTGTGAAGACTATTACTGATTGGCTTGGCTAAAAAAAAATCCTTTTTTCTGAGACTAAAATATGATTTGTCACACAGAATGGCCTACCCGTCCCTTTAAAATTGGAAAGTCATTTGGATTTATCATTTTCTACAATTAAAAAACTTTTTATTTCAGGTTTTCAATACTTTAACTTATCAAGTTAAACATGGAATATATCTCAATACAGTCCGGGCTTTTTCATCTCCATCAACTTTTAAGGTTTGTTTCATTTAGTTAATGTTTTAGCTTTTTAAAAGAAGATTACTTCATATTCTACAAACTGGGAAAAATGATTCCTCAATAGCTATGACAAAAATTTGTCTGTTGCATTACATAATATTTAGTATGTTGAGGAGCAAAACTGACGCCTTGACTATATTGTAGTATCCAACAATAATATGTCTGACCTTAAACCCATCTCCAATATCCCATCCAATATGGCATTGGAGGAACTCAGTAGGGGCAGATTTGTCGGGCATTTCACATCCTTGATTTTCAAATTTGAAAACTCATAACTCAGTTGTATTAAATGTATATTTTCAGTATGCTGACCTAACAGTTGAACAAACTAAAAGTCCTCAAGCTAAACCAACACCAGATAAGTTGTTGTTTGGTCATCATTTTACTGATCATATGTTAGAGGTAGATTGGACCAGTAAGAATGGATGGGGTAAACCACATATAAGTCCACTACATAATCTCTCATTTCACCCTGCTGCTAAAGTTCTTCATTATGGAATTGAGGTAAATTGCTCATTCCGATTTTTTTGGAGGTTTACAAACCTATCAATATGTTGGCTAGCACTGCTCCATGGAATCCAATCTATGAAAAATAGATTACAATTTTGTTTCTTTTTGGTGTCTGATATTTTCAGTCTCCATGGTAATCTGCCCAAGTCTGTCTCAAAAGTAATAATGTAATGAAACCTCCAGTAGAGCAATATGACAGACTGTTTGGGTTTTGTTATCCCACAATTCCACAAATTTTGTCTTTTGAATATTAAAAACATAATTTGCTGTTTAAACTTAGGAAATGGTCTTTGATGAAAATTGTTGTTGTAAATTTAGAAATCATTTTTACTCCGGACAGTTGAATCCACTTGAAAAAATTAATTTGGGTTTGTCTATAATGCATCAAAAGTCATGTCATTCAGATTATTCCCTGGACTATGAGAAACTTAAATAAGCTAATGATAAATTAACAATACCTTAAATCTCATATCTAAATTCATGGGAAACACTGTTAAACATTTTTCTATGTAAAGATTTAATAACATCCTTAATTGAAAAAATTTGGTTGCATAAACATTATTTTGCAGTAAGAATTATTATTCAAGGGGCTTTTATTTACTGAAAGAAATTGTATTTATTTTAATGAGAAACAGATTTTGTCTTCATAGACTTGTTTCTATTGAAGTTTAAATCCAATCTATTGATATACTCCTATATATTATGACTATATGATAATGGGTTTTGGTTGGGTCCAATGGGTGGGGTTCACTGATTTTTTTCAATAGTTTATAATAAAAGATTGCTTATATATACTACTTTAATTCATTTCAAAGAGAAGAAATATTACAATCAAAAATATTTTATAGGAATATAAAGGTATTCGACAATTTCGTGATGAGTATTCTTTTAGTTAGGATGCTCCACCCAACACCCTATATTATGAGAAAGGTATTCTATAGGGTAGTTTCAAGTATTGCTATTGTTCCTAACACTTTTCGTATTTTGGCGACATTGTACTTATTGTTCTTCATTGTAAATGGGTTTTAAGCTTTCTCACTTATTCAAATGCTTTCTAATCTCTTTCCTTCAATTTTGATTTATGATTGAAAATAGAAGTGTTGTGGTTTTTTTGTTATGCTTCAGATATTAATTTGCTCGCTTCAGTAGGAAGCCATTCTTCAAGAAATTGGACTAGTCATAGTGGAAATATCTATTCAATTAAAATACAAAGATGGATACAATAGGATGATACTTTCATGAAGTACAATCAAATTAATAACATATTTTCAGCATTAGTAACACTTTTTATGATATCTATTTTAGTCTTGTTACAAAGATATTGAAATAAGTTGCTCACTCGTTCTACTTAATTAAGGTGTATTAAAGGAATTTCTAAGGCGCAACATATATATTTATAGCTTAGAGGGCTAGCATCCTGATACTTTTGAAGAAAACAATTAAAAGGTTTTCTACACTTTTTATATGCCCACATCTCTCTATGTGGATGTATATTGTCGGCACCCCTGTCCGTCCGTCTGTCTGTCTGTCCGTTAACATTTGCTTGTTAGAGTTTTTGATGGAATCAAATGAAATTTGGTATGTTTATACATATTCATAAAACAAAGATCAAGTTCGAATTTGAGCTATTTTCGACTGTTAGAAGCAGAGTTATTGCCCTTGCCCCAAAATCTTGAATATTTACCATCCGCATGCCGCGTTGGGCGTATATGGCTGTGGTCCACTATCTTTATGTATATCATGAACACTGATAGCATCAATTTGCACCATTCCAATTTTCTGAGAGTCGTCAGTTCCTGCAATTCCACTAAAATGAAATGGTTGGTATTGTCACTATTGCAAAAGCTGCTTAAGGACCGTTGGATTAGTGATATCATAAAATGCTTAAGTTTAGTGGAATTACAAGACCCACAGACGTCTGCCTGAAAATGCCTGGAATGGTTCAAATTGATTGAAAATCTCTTTACAATCACATTACAAATCACCTGACAGTTTTCTATTATCTTTCCTTTCAACAATGAATTCACCTGATTCTAAAAATTGCAAAGTCTTTCAAAAATGATTATTTAAAATAAGTACATACCGGTATTTAACTTAAAGTTATGAAATAAATTTCAAATACATGTGTGTCCAGAATTATCTGCAATTGTATGTTAATATGCAATTCATCATTTTAAAATACTCTGTGATATATAGAAAAAACAAGTATAGGAAAAGTGAGTAAAATGCCTAGTTTGAAGTATTTTTGAAGGAATTATGCGATTTTCATATATTTCTAGTACTTCTGAAGACTATATTCATATATTCAAGATTAAAATTAACCCCCGAAAATGGTGCACCTGTCTCTTTAAATCTACCTGATGATTTCCCCCTGTCAATGATGCAGGTCAGACTGACAGTTGATAATTTAGAAAGAGTAGACCAATGCATCTTGTAGGACTGTCTTTGATTGCCCACTTTCATAGCAAAATGGAAACCCATTTGATGTTTGATTCATATTGTGTTTCTCTTCTTTTTAACTCATTAATTACATGATAAATATAACTGTCTTGTTTAACAAAAGGTTGCATGTAGATTATAAAGAAATGGTATAAAACATGGTTCAGGTGTCACAATAATTGTCATAACACTAAATACTCTGCCACAATGTGTTAACATGACAAATTGCCAGATTATCATACCTGTAATATTGCTCATGTAACAATATATACATTTCTGTTGTTTAAATAGGGCAAGCCCTCTGGTTGCCAACCTTGTTGCCAACTTGGTGTGTTTTCACCCCCTGGGGGTGTGGACATCTTTTTGGGGTTTTTGGGGTGTGAGGGGCTCAAATGATTACTTCAGTCTCCAGGGGTGTAAAGTCTGAAAACAGTTGGAACCACTGGGCTGTAACTTTAGTCAAAAAATTTGATTGGTTGATAAATTTCATTTAAAATAATTTAAATCCCTCAGAGTTCTTAGTAGTGTATATGTACAATCATTTTAAACTTATAGTTTTAGTTTTTGACCAAATATTGACCATTCATTACTGTAATTGTGTTGTAGAGCGCTAGCGTAACTTTCATGGAGGCCGTTTGCAACATGGGCTCGCAATCAAGGATCGTCATTGGCCAAACCTCTTGGCATTGATCTTTTCTTGATCATCTGATTTTTATGAGTAGAGATGACTTATTCCGGGTCGATCGGAAAGCATTTATACGTAAGATCTAACCAAGCAAATGTATGTAAAGAACTATAACTACAACCGATTGTGCTACAAAATTAAAGCCCGTCAAAGGATATGTTAGCAAAAAGTTACATCATTTGATCGTTTTGTCAGCTCTCTAAGTTGACTATAATTTCTCCTCTGAGAAGATTCTTTTTTATTTGAAATGTCAAAAAAAATAGAATTATTTGAAAAAAATGAATGCACATTATATCATGCATGTCTTTTGATTTATGGTGTGTAATTTCATCTCTTTATTTTCTAGTTATTTGAAGGTATGAAAGCCTATATGGGTGTGGATGGAAAGATAAGATTATTTAGACCAATGGAGAATATGAAAAGAATGAATAAAACTGCCAAAAGATGTGATCTTCCAGTAAGTATTGATGATTCAGCTTAATATTCTGATAGGTTTTTAATAACCACAGTCATAGGTAATCCACTATCTTTCAGACTTCTTTAAGGTTTGATTGGTAAAGATGAGGGCACACGAGTTGTTTTGGTCAGAAATTTTTGTCGCCGATTGGAGTCTTGAATAGAATTTCGCGTGTGCCTATGCTTCCATGACAAGATTAATGTCCCCGACAGGATTTATAATATCAAACAACTCCAATTGTTTTATCGTCTGCAAGACAGAACGTCATCATCCAATCAGATTCATTTTCCTTACAATTGCATGATCTGTACTTGATTATCGACATGGTGGAAAATGACTGACTGAAAAATTTGTCTCCTTGTGTCCATTTGCCAGTCGGTTAAACTCTTGACAAGACTCTAGTCAGCGACAAAAATCTCCGACCAAGACCCCTCGCGTGCATGGAACTTTAGGCTTGGTTTGGTTTAGTTTGGCAAGTTAATGCTCCTAAGCCAGAGTTTCTGAAAATGAACCACTACACTGCTACTGTGTCCATACTCTTGGACATCAGTTTGGAAGGTTATTGTCTGAAATGTTAAATGTGCATTCTGGTGTTGAATGTATTGAATTATTATACCCACTTCACAAAGCCCTGATTCATGAGAAATTGATATCTGAAATGTTATGAGATAACACAAATTACATCATCCATTGTTATGATATCAATGTCATATGAATGAGTAGCCAATTTGAAGTCATGAATTATTATACACTCACCCAACAGCAAGAAAATGGGCTTAAAATTGACCTTTCAATATGTGAAGGTAGAATTTTCAAATTAGTGGGTTTGGAGAAATAGGTTTTAAAGACGTCAAGGTGGTGATTTTATGCAGTGACATAACGTTACCTTTTCAAGTTGTGCGTTATCAGCCGTGTTCATGAACAAGGTCTTTTAGTCTACCATTTGTCTTATTAGTATAAGAAATAATCAATTGCAGTTATACTAAGCAAGATCTTTGCTTTATGTAAAGGGTGTATAAGAGGTAACCCAAGTTTAAAAGGGCTTTCTTTTTCTTAAAAAGACTTTTTGCTGTTAAAAAACTACTGTACAGATTTGAGTAAATTTAATGTCTAACTAATTGTAGAGAAATATGTCTCTTCTGTATTCTAACTAATAATATCGAGCCATTATAAAGCCAAACACCAAAACTAGATCAAACTGCTTAATGAACTATTAGTACTCTTCAATTCAATTTGATCAAAAAGATACATAGATATAAATAGCTTAGAAATATGTTCAGGTATAATTTACGACGTTTTTGATGAAAATTTTACATACTGCCCCTTTAAAATGTAGGCCAAAGTATTTGACAATTCTAGATCTTGTCTAATTTTATAACTATTGTCATTATTCTAGGGTTTTGTTTCTTTTGTTCATAGTCGCTCCTTCAGAGGTGAAGAGTTTGAATGAAGGATTCACTCTATATATTTTCTATCTAACTTTTCTATTATAACTTGTAAACAATACAAGAACATCTCAGTATTTATATTGTGTCTTATAGATGTCAGCTTCTATTTATAAATTCTCTATTAACTAATTATGAATGATCGTACAAGATAATTATAAAGGAAACATACAGAAAAATTTCACAATTTCATGGCAGAGAGAGCATATTGTAGAGGTTTGGGAAAAAGATTCGGTCAAATAATTCTCTGTTGATTCGTGTTTTTGATTGCTTGTATAAGATAAAGAAAGAAAAAAAGACAGAAAAAAAGAAGAGAAAGAAAGAAAAATTTTTACAAGGATAACAACCTTGGTTCACATTTACACATTAACATCTCAGTCAACTGAAATAATAATTAAAGACTGCAATCACCAGACGTTCACATGCTGACCAAGATAAGAACCCACGACTACCATATGGTTGACACCCTGACAAATGATGTCATTATCTAGCTGACTTTTCTATGCCACAGTAAAAATATTGTAGAAGTATATTTAAAAAATGGACTTGAAGGCTTTTTCTAGCCCTTTAATGTGTATTGGCAAAACACTCTAGTTGCTAGATGCTATATAATAGTGCTGGGTGTTGCCAATCATGCCACAATACGATTCCTATAACAATGATAATGATTAATATTTTATTTTTAAAGTTTCAATATATATTAATTTATAACTTTATAACTGTGATATTTGGTAATGTAGGTCTACATCTTAAAAGGTCTACTTACTGTCTTAAAAAAAATAAGAAGCCAACAATTTCAGTCAAGTCAGTGGAAAAAATCGCAATTCACCAAGCACTACTATAAATCTCTAGTTGATTTCCTATAATTTCAGAAAAACTTGAACTTTTTGGATTAATGATATCATAATCAGGAAATAAGTATTTTGGGGATAAATAAAAAAAATTGACTAAAATTTGGGAAATATAACAGGAATGAACGGTTAATTTCAGGAATAGTTTAGGAATAAATATGAAAACATCTTTCTGAAAATAACCTAAGCATAGCTCTAAGCATTAAGTATTGAATGAATTTAAAGAGATTGTAAAGATGTTTTCTAAATTTTTTATGTGTACCATTCCTATCTTCAAAAAGACATCTGTGGATTTTGTAATTCCACAAAAAATACCTTTAACAATACAAGTATTTCTGAATTTGTAGAAAAGACTGAATATTCTATCAGCTGATAAAGTTATACTGCCAAACAATTTTCAGCTACTTGAGTGTAACTTTAATGGAACGCTGGTTGTTTTGTATAGGGGACAATTTTTAAAATATGCTAGATGTTTTTTAAACAGAGAATGTTGGGTGGTGAAAAAGTATATTGTTTGATGTTTTGACTATTGTTCAATGAGAAATATTAGTGATATAGATGATTGACTATTTCTAATATAACTAGCTATCTATTGTTATAACAGGTGTAGAAATATTATATTTATTATATCTACTGTATCATAGTTATCATACCTCAAATATTTACCATGACAAAAAACATTTCCAAAAAAAACTAGATGAAGCTGAAATTTGAATAAGGGTGTTATAATAATGAATTGGGTGTTAATTTCAAATCTCTTGTATATACTTATTTACAACTTACCTACAAACTGGGCGAATTTTATTCTCTGGTACTTTGACTGAACTATTCGCTGCCGAATTCATTTGACTGACGCAGTGGACACACTAGGCAAATGCCTGATTTGATAACTCGTCTGAATATTAAATTACGCATGCTTACGACACTTAGTCACACGGTAAAAATATGGTGGTGAAAGAAACGAAGATTGACATTTGCTTATATTGCATAAGTTGGGTTTTGACTCCATAAATTAACATAATTAATTCCTATTTCTTTTCTGCATCACTGGAGGTTGCCATTTTATTTGTCACGTGTCTGTGATTGGTTGAGTTATGGATAAGTTCACAATAGACTTCACCAGAGTGGACACACTTGTGAAATGAGGGTGATAAATATTCGGTGAATAATATCAAACATGCTTGATGTTGGCGCATGGCTTCGGCCAATGATCGGGCAAATGTGATATCTGGTACACATTAGGCTGAGTTAATTGCCCAGTCTGTCCGCATCTTAAGGTGCATTCATATTTATGACAACTTTCACTGTTAGTGTAACTGATAAAGATAGCAAAGGTAGTCAAGGTCAATGACCTTGGCAATCAGCTGATACTTTCATTGGGATTCTGACTATACTTCAGCTACGTATCTCGAAAGATCTAGTACTAGGGATCGTTTCGAGAATACGTAGCCTGGTTTCACAACCTTCAAAAAGTACAATTTTTCAGATTCCCTTGCAAATTGGCACATGAGCAAAGACCCACTCTATGCCACATGTGGCTCTGTTATTTTATTTTAAGCGGAATTAGAAATTTATTTTGACGGATTTTTTTCAAATAATAGAAAAGGACACCTGGTTATAAAGATATAACATTAGAATTTTGATATGGAATTAGCTGTTGTGCCAGAATATTTATTGAACAAGTACCTTCTGTATAGTGAATTTATTTTCTATCATTTTAGACGTTTGATGGTGAGGAATTGATATCTTGTATAAAGAAATTAATTCTAATAGATAGAGAATGGGTACCAAAAGCTGAAAATAGTTCATTGTATATTAGACCAACTTTGATTGGTAATGATGTAAGTATTCTAAATATATATATATTTTGTTTTAGTTCCTGATATTTCATTCTAGATAACATTGTAATATTACACAATATTACAGAAATGTCTAACAAAAGCAGCCTGAAACATTGGTCAAAATATCAGTTCAAAGTTTTTATGGTCACATGAAAAACCTGTTTGGAAATGAAATGAAATGAATGGAGTTTTACATCCTACTTTTTTGCAAAAACCTTTTTGGTATAGTCATTTTTCTATCATAAATTCAAAAGTCATATATCTTTTATTTTTCCACATTTGTTCAATATTTATGTGCTATTGGTCAAATTAGCAGTCTTGGGTTACAAATGTAAAATTCTAAATTTGTGACTTTATCTATGCTTCAGTGCTGAAACTTATTTGACCTGTATTAATTGTTTTCTATTTCTTGAAACAATATTTTATAATTGAAATAAATACAAAAGCAGTCTTGATATATTTCAATTTAAAAAAAAAAGCTCAAAACAGTTTCTACTAAAAAAACAGAAGGTCCAAAAGAGTGATTCGCATGTGACCAAAAGACTTTATTTATTTCATTAAAAGGAGACTTTACATTGTCTGAAGCTGGATATTGTAAAATGAACATATTTTTATGTGGCAATCAATTTATCATCTAGATGAAAGTTACTTTCAACCTTAGTAATTTTACTTTTTTTATGCACTTATAACTTACAAACTTTGTTCTTTGGTTATATTTCTTAAATTATTTTTGCAATTTCCATTAAGTTATACATTTTCTGAATGGGATTCTTGGTAAAGGATTAACAAACTTAATATAGATTCAAAATGGTGACACAATTGCAGACAAACTTTATTTCATAAAACACTTTCTTGTCTGAAAAGCTTGATTAGCTCATGGAACTTTAATGAAAAGAAGATTTTGCCAGGTCATTAATAAATCTAAAATTCTTCTAAAGGTCAAATTCTTATTATTAAAAAATGTTATGTTTCGTTCAAACACAAGCTGTTAGCTCAGGAAGAGTTTGTTGGGCTTGGTGTAAGTTTCCTTATGCAAAAAAAAATCAATACTTTTCACATTAACTATATAAAGACTCTCAATTGCATGTTGTAACTGTGTTCTGTCTGAAGATGGCACAGAATCTCTGAGTAACATCATGTTTCAGGTTCTGCATTAATATTTCTTTACATTTCGCTCTTCAATTGATTTATTGAGCATTAAAGAGATTGTAAAGAGGTTTTCTAAATTTTTAAGCCTATCGGGGACACTGATAGCATCAATTTGCACCATTCTGATTTTCAATCAGATGTCTGTGGTTCCTGCAATACCACTTAAACTAAATGTCTTCACCCCTGAAGAAATTTTCTTGTTTCACATGATACCTTTGAGGGGGTGACGTCATGAAACACTTAGTTTTAGTAGAATTTTGATTGAAAATTGGAATGGTGCAAATTGACTAGTGTCCCCGATACACATACAAAATTTAGAAAACATCTTTACAATACCTTTAAGCTTAAACAATGAAAATAATTGATAGATATTGCAAGTCTGAGTTAGAGAATATCGAGATTTAACAGTGAAAATAATTATAGATATTGCAAGTCTGATTTAGAGAATATCGAGATTTAACAGTGAAAATTATTATAGATATTGCAAGTCTGAGTTAGAGAATATCGAGATTTAACAGTGAAAATTATTATAGATATTGCAAGTCTGAGTTAGAGAATATCGAGATTTAACAGTGAAAATTATTATAGATATTGTAAGTCTGATTCAGAGAATATCGAGATTGAACAGTGAAAATTATTATAGATATTGTAAGTCTGATTCAGAGAATATCGAGATTGAACAGTGAAAATTATTATAGATATTGCAAGTCTGAATTAGAGAATATCGAGATTGAACAGTGAAAATTATTATAGATATTGCAAGTCTGAATTAGAGAATATCGAGATTTAACAGTGAAAATTATTATAGATATTGCAAGTCTGAATTAGAGAATATCGAGATTTAACAGTGAAAATTATTATAGATATTGTAAGTCTGATTTAGAGAATATCGAGATTTAACAGTGAAAATTATTATAGATATTGTAAGTCTGATTTAGAGAATATCGAGATTTAACAGTGAAAATTATTATAGATATTGCAAGTCTGAATTAGAGAATATCGAGATTTAACAGTGAAAATTATTATAGATATTGCAAGTCTGAATTAGAGAATATCGAGATTTAACAGTGAAAATTATTATAGATATTGCAAGTCTGATTTAGAGAATATCGAGATTTAACAGTGAAAATTATTATAGATATTGTAAGTCTGATTTAGAGAATATCGAGATTTAACAGTGAAAATTATTATAGATATTGTAAGTCTGATTCAGAGAATATCGAGATTGAACAGTGAAAATTATTATAGATATTGTAAGTCTGATTCAGAGAATATCGAGATTGAACAGTGAAAATTATTATAGATATTGCAAGTCTGAATTAGAGAATATCGAGATTTAACAGTGAAAATTATTATAGATATTGTAAGTCTGATTTAGAGAATATCGAGATTGAACAGTGAAAATTATTATAGATATTGTAAGTCTGATTTAGAGAATATCGAGATTGAACAGTGAAAATTATTATAGATATTGCAAGTTTAGAGAATATCGAGATTTAACAGTGAAAATTATTATAGATATTGTAAGTCTGATTTAGAGAATATCGAGATTTAACAGTGAAAATTATTATAGATATTGTAAGTCTGATTTAGAGAATATTGAGATTTAACAGTGAAAATTATTATAGATATTGCAAGTCTGAATTAGAGAATATCGAGATTTAACAGTGAAAATTATTATAGATATTGCAAGTCTGAATTAGAGAATATCGAGATTTAACAGTGAAAATTATTATAGATATTGCAAGTCTGAATTAGAGAATATCGAGATTGAACAGTGAAAATTATTATAGATATTGCAAGTCTGATTTAGAGAATATCGAGATTGAACAGTGAAAATTATTATAGATATTACTAGTCTGAATTTGAGATGTTTATTCAGTGAATAATGCAGTGAGATAAAATATAAAATCTTATCACCTTTCAGTTGTCATGTATTATTACAGATCAAAGTACAAATATATAAATATAATACTAATAATACCCTAGCATATTCATTCAATTTCTTTTCAATAACAATTCATTATTTCATTCAAAAAAATCTTTTATATGAATTTGGGTGCATACAGGTGCCCAGCTTTCAGTCTTTTCAAATTAGTTGAATTTAGTTTTGCGGTCCACTTAATCAGAATGTATCATCCATTCTGTATTGAAATGAATTTCTTTCCTTGGTGTAGAAATCACCAATTGTTCCTATTCAAATGTATTATTAAACTTTTGTGGGTGTGTTATATCCTTAAAATACATGTATTTCTAAGAATCAATTTTAGATTAATGGAAGTATTAAATGTAACACCAGCATTAATCTGAAATTATGATATGATTTATATATATATGACATTTAAAGGGACAGATGTGACATTTTGGGGGGTTGATTTGAGTCTTGAAAATATGTAAATAGTCTTTAGAAGTACTAGAAATGTACGATAATCGCATAATTCCTTTTAAAATTCTTCAAACTGGGAATTTTTACTCACCATTTCTGTATGTCTTTTCATCATGTCATCATTTTAACATTCAAACGCGGATATTTCTGGACAATGGATTTGAAGGCTCAAATTTCTACGTTGTGCTGTGAATGCTATTACTGATTGGCTTAGCGAAAAATTCCCGTTTCTGCTGAGACTCCAGTATGATTGATCAAAAAAAAAAAAATGGTGCATCTGTTCCTTTAACATTAAAATTTAAAAACTTATACATTTTTAAAGTAATATTATATACATAAGAGTACATAATATGAAAGTAATTTTATACATATACTCTTCTGTGAAGACTAAAACTGTAAAAATGTACATCCATCAAAAATTGCTGCAATCTTTTTCTGATAATTCAAAATTAAAGATGTAACACAAGTTTTCTCATAATCTCACAACTAAAGTTGCAACAAAAGTTATATCTGATAAACACGATTTGCTCACAACTGAAGCTGCTACAAAAGTTATGTCCAAGAAACATGAATTTCTCACAACTAAAGTAATCTGATAGACACATAAAGTTGCTGTGAAAGATAGTGATAAAGAAAGTTATCCGATAAATACCGGTAGACAACAAAAGTTATGTCTGATCAACACGATTGGCTCACAACTAAAGTTATCTGATAGACACACAAAGTTGCTGTGATAGATAGTGATAATGATGATTAAACAAATAGACAACTAAAGTTGCTACAAAAGTTATGTCTGATAAACACAAATTACACACAATTAAGTTGCTAAAGTTATCTGATAGACACATAAAGTTACTGTGATAGAGATAAAGAAAATTATCTGATAAACTAAAGTTGCTACAAAAGTTATCTGATGGACATATAAAGTTACTGTGATAGAGATAAAGAAAATTATCTGATAAACTAAAGTTGCTACAAAAGTTATCTGATAGACATATAAAGTTACTGTGATAGAGATAAAGAAAATTATCTGATAAACTAAAGTTGCTACAAAAGTTATCTGATAGACATATAAAGTTACTGTGATAGAGATAAAGAAAATTATCTGATAAACTAAAGTTGCTACAAAAGTTATCTGATGGACATATAAAGTTACTGTTGTGGTAAATAATGAAAAAGAAAGTTATCTGATAAAGAGACAATTAAAGTTGTTACAAAAGTTGTCTGAAAGACATAAAGTTGCTGTGAAAGAAAGTAAAAAAGAAAATTATCTGATAAACAGACAACTAAAGTTGCTACAAAAGTTATCTGATGGACATGAAGTTGCTGTGATAAATGATTATAAAGAAAATTATCTGATAAACAGACAACTAAAGTTGCTACAAAAGTTATCTGATGGACATGAAGTTGCTGTGATAAATGATTATAAAGAAAATTATCTGATAAATAGACAAGTAAAGTTGTTACAAAAGTTATCTGATAGACATATAAAGTTGCTGTGAAAGATAGTAAAAAAGAAAATTATCTGATAAACAGACAACTAAAGTTGCTACAAAAGTTATCTGAAAGACATATAAAGTTGCTGTGGAAGATAGTAAAAAAGAAAATTATCTGATAAATAGACAAGTAAAGTTGTTACAAAAGTTATCTGATAGACATATAAAGTTGCTGTGGAAGAAAGTAAAAAAGAAAATTATCTGATAAACAGACAACTAAAGTTGCTACAAAAGTTATCTGATAGACATGAAATTGCTGTGATAAATGATTATAAAGAAAATTATCTGATAAACAGACAAGTAAAGTTGTTACAAAAGTTATCTGATAGACATGAAATTGCTGTGATAAATAATTATAAAGAAAATTATCTGATAAACAGACAAGTAAAGTTGCTACAAAAGTTATCTGATAGACATATAAAGTTGCTGTGAAAGATAGTAAAAAAGAAAATTATCTGATAAACAGACAACTAAAGTTGTTACTAAAGTTATCTAATAGACATGAAGTTGCTGTGATAAATGATTATAAAGAAAATTATCTGATAAACAGACAACTAAAGTTGTTACAAAAGTTATCTGATAGACATGAAATTGCTGTGATAAATAATTATAAAGAAAATTATCTGATAAATAGACAAGTAAAGTTGCTACAAAAGATGAATTTGATAAACACAAATTACACACATTAAAGTTGCTACAAATTTTTAGATCTGATAAAATGCAAAACTGAAGTTCAACGATAGTTATATCTTAAAGGTTTAACTGAAGTTGCTATGTAAGATATTTAAACCCTGTTAAAGGAATGATATTTCTAAGCTGTCAATTTTTCGTCAAGTTACCTTCTTTTGCTTTCTGTTCAGATTTTTTTGTCACCTTCAGAAGTCTTTTATCCTATATCAGTATTCAAGGTAGGGGATGCTATCCAAAACGGTTGAATATTTTAGAAGCGTTCTCAACTCTCTGGCTAAATCAACCTTCATGCGAGTAGCTTTGTTTCAAGGTCGAAGGAAATATTTGGGATATGGAGCTACATGTATATCACATGAGATCTTAAATATTAAAATTAGGGTATTTTTGCGAGATAGACACTGCCAAACAAAATATCTTGAAGGAAACAAACGGGTCAGGTTTCTATTAATCTTTCGTGACCCAGAAATCCTGAATGTATTGTCTTCAAGGATATCTTATGTTGAATCAAATACTATTATTATTCTTATTATCACATTATTATTCAATGTTTTATTAAAATCTTTAGAATATAGGCGAGTCAGTAGGAAAGAAGAGAGTTGTATTGTTACGCGTACCTGGTTCTAAATGGTATCATTCTATTGTTATACATTCATACCTTTCTAACGCTTTTATACCCCCTATTTTTTTCCTTTTTAAACCCTCTCCCAATACAATACACTATCTGGATATATAATATAACTTGGTTAAGGTTTTTTATATATTCTTTTATTCAATGTGTATATAACCATAACGAATTGTTAAGAACAATATGCAGTTTCCTTTTGTCATGATTATATTGTTGAGAAGTTATTGTTGTGAAATAGGGTGTTCAGTAGCCAGTAATTTTAACATAGAATACACACCTAAACAGATATTTTTCTACACTCCTTTTCCTTATAAATTAAATGTGAAAATTTTCTAGAAGGCAGAAATGCTGGATTCCTTAATTACAAATATCATGACTAATAAGCACTATTAAAATTGTCATAAATTGATATGTTATTAATTAAATATTTAGGTATTACTTATGATTAAAGGGATTTATAAGAGGTTTTCTAGCCTTTGCATCTGTATCAGGGACACTGACAGCTTTTGTGTATTTGCATAAAATGTATTTCTTGTATTTGAATCACTCCCCTTTCCCTCCAATGTCTGTGGTTCCTGTAATTCCTCAAAAGCTTTGCCATAATATTATGTTAATATCGAAAAGTTTATCCCAATACAAATACAAAGACTAGAAAACCTCTTTTGAATCTCTTTAAGAAGCCTATTGTACTATTGGAGAACAGGACCCTGTTTCTCAAAATAGCGTAGATTAACGTATGAGTGTAAACGTTATAAATTAACGATTTGATAATGTCAAAACTGTTCTTTTGTTGATGTGCACAATTTTTTGAGAAACGTGGTCCAGGATTTGATTGTATGTTACAGCCATTGTCGTTCCTTCCCCAATCCTTATCACTAAACATGAGTTTTTACAAATATATCAAGCAATCTTCAACAAATTCAGTAACATCATTATAAAATCTAACCCTTTTACAGTCCGTTTTACAAATTTTACCCAAAAAAGTAAATTAACCATGACCATCCTAAAAGCTTTTCCAATTAAATCCCATCCATTTACCCATTTGCTTTTTGGATAGGAAAAATAAATGGACTACCGGTATTTGGTTCAGTTTAAAAGAAGATGATCATATTAATTAATTAATGAGCCTTGTCATTATTTTTATTTGCATGTAACAGGATTATTCTAGTGACCATTATGATATCGTCTGTATCTTCAGACCATCTGCTTATACCTTGACTCAAATGACCGCTTTTCTATTATCATGGAGTGCAGCGATTTGATTGAATTTGATGCCAGCAAGTACAGCAAATAAGAGCTCTTGACAAAAAGACTGTAAACATTAAGGCGTAGTGTTTCCAAACTTTTTATTGATGCCTCTGATTGGCTGTATTTGCTAGCGAAATGAACAATAATTTTACAGAAGTGGTGGACAAATGTTTTTCTAAACAGAGTTGAATTATTTCTGAATTGTAACTTTTATTTCTCAATAATGTTGTTAGATCATAGTTTGAGTGAAGTAACTTGTTAAACAAAATATCTAGAGCTGTATTTTAATTGGGGTTGAAGCCTAACTTGACCTTTAAAATTATCAGCAAAATTTATTTCTCTACAGAAATTTGATCACAATATTTTCTTTATTTCAGCCAACATTAGGTGTGAGTAAATCACAACAAGCTTTACTGTTTGTCATTGTGGGACCAGTTGGATCATATTTTACTACTGGATTAGAGCCAGTCACATTGATGGCAGATCCAAAATATGTTCGAGCTTGGCCTGGTGGTTGTGGTAGTTACAAGATGGGATCGTAAGTCAAATTTTTACTTCTTATCCTAGTAATTCAGTTCCAGCAAACTTGGCATGACGGGATAGCCTGGCCAGATTAGCATTGCAAGCAGGAGTACTTTCTGAAGTCTGCTTTCTGAATGATGCTTTACCAAATTTTTGTTAAATGGACGACAAATATAAATTCCAAAACAGTTCTTAACATTTACGCTTTGAAGCCTGAGTGTAAATGAAATACAACGTCATATACCCTGAACTCCAAGTTGTATGATGTCACTTAGTAACGGTTGGTATACCCCCTACTCAGGTATATATTGTGTTAGTGTGTGGCCAGTAAACACACATGTATCTAAAGTTGACCTCAAAGACAATTTGGGTCAAAAAAACTTGTACTACTGCAGGAATAATTGCAATCCAAAATCATTTTAGAAATCACAATGATCAGACAGTAGTTAGTAGCTGTATGTTTATAGTAGTTGAATAACTGTACATGTAAGAGAAAAGACAACTGTGACTGATTAAGGGGAAACTACTCTATTAATGCCACATGGCTTTAAAGACAACTTGAGGTCTTGAATATTTTGATAATATTTGAGTCTGGGTCTTTGATTAAATGGCGTTGAATTCATCCTTATGTACATTTACTGAAAAAATTGCGTGGTGGGTTGATTTAAGTCTTGAAAATGTGTATACAGTCTTCAGAAGTACTAGAAATGTATGAAAATCATATAATTCCTTTAAAAATACTTCAAACTAGTCTAGTCTTTTCTATATATCACAGAGTATCTTAAAATGACGAGTCATCATTTTAACATTCAAACGCGGATAATTCTGGACTCAAATTTTGACTGTTAGCTGTGATCACTATTATTGACTGTACATACATGGACACTTATGATTGGTTAAATTATAATTTATATGCAATAAGAACATAATGATATGATTAAGAATACATGATAATTCATTAGAAACACCAATAAATCAATAATCGGATTAATTCACCACTAAAAAATAAGGAACCCATCTTTAGAGAGTATTGAAGGTTGGAACAAATCAGACCACTTTTAATTTGAACATCATTTTGATACACGTAAATTATTTGTCCAACAGAAATTATGCTCCAACTATTGAAGTACAGAGCAATGCTGTTAAAGCTAAATGCCAACAAGTATTATGGTTATATGGAGAGGACCATCAACTAACTGAAGTGGGTACCATGAATCTATTTATGTATTGGACCAATGAAGAAGGTGTAGATGAACTTATAACTCATCCATTAGATGGTTTAGTTTTACCTGGTGTTACTAGATCATCATTAATTAAACTAGCTGAAGAATGGGTAAGAAAATTTCTTTCATGATTCTTTATTATAGTTTATGGATACTGGTAATCCAGCTGGAAGGCGCAAGGAGTAGGTGATGTCTGCATTGCCCAATATTTACAAACATTTTATGTTTTAAAGCAAAGTGTTTCACATTTGACTTGGACTGCTGTCATAGAAATATGCTCTCATTGTAGGGAGAATTCAAAGTAACAGAAAAACCATACGGTATGAAAGAAGTTGTAAAAGCTTTAAAAGAAAATAGGGTAAGTATATCTGGTTTGTTGGAGAAAGACGTGTAAGTTTTATTGATAGTATGAAATGTTAAGGAAAAGGGATCGGAGAAGAATTTGTATATATTTTTTTTTATACAGTGCACTCTGTGATATCTGTCTTCTGAGTAGTGAGTATTATGTACATTGTATTCTGTAATATCTGACTTCTGAGTATTCCGACATTCTGCGTAATACAACATCATTTTCTTAGGCTAGTTTAAAAAACTCTGAGTTCTCTGACACACTGTGTATTACGAATTACAACACTGTATAATCCTACATCTACTCATCTTAATCACTTATCGTCAATTAGATAATCGCTTATTTTATTGATAATCCGGATCAAATCTTATGAAAACAAAAGATCGCTGAACTAAATTCTGCTGATTAATCACCACCAATAACCTTGCTTCAAGATTTTGTCCTGTCAAGTGTGCCCGTACTGATATGTCTCTGGATATGAAACAGCAAATTATCAGAGATTACGAAAAAGTGACGCGCTCTTCGCAGAAATATCTAGCTATGAAATTTGGTTAACGTCAAACGACAATAAGCAACATTTTAAAACGTAAAGAAGAATTCAAAACAAAGTTTGCCGACAAAATTAATTCCAATAAATAACGTATATGTACAGTAGCTCAAAATATGAACAATTAAATAATAGTAACGTATACAACTGAATTGTCTTTTATTATTGTCTTATTATTAGAGCTATAAATAGTAACACGTGGCAAATGTTAAAAAATGTTGAAACTCTAAGTACTTCGACACTCTCTCTAATCCGACAATTTTGCGGTCCAAGTGTATGTTGTATTACACAGAGTATACTGTACTGTGTTTTCTGTCTTATACCATTAGTGTGTAAGATAGGAATCTACGCTTTATTATCTTTTGATTAAAAGACAGATCATGATCAAGTTTTTAACTGTGAATGAGTCACCTTCCATCAACGGTCTTTGAAATATTAAGTCATTCAAATCTCTGTTTATTAAGAGACTTGTCTTTTACTGTTAGACGTTGCTTGTAATGATAGTTCATTTTAAACTATGTTTTGGATTAAATAACATAAATTAATATTATTTGTGTAAATTATCTCTGATTTCAAATATTTAAGTATAGCATCTTAGTCTTAAAGGGGTTGATTGGGACTGAGGAGACACAAATAATGATATCTTAAAATTCAAAAATGAATTGAATACTATCCACAGAATATTTTCACTATACATCAGATTATGATCGATACCAAGTGTAGTACTTTTGTCTACCTGAGGAATTGATACAGTATGATTAATACTATGTATTTGTTTGAACTATAGGTAAAAGAAATATTTGGTGCTGGAACAGCCTGTGTTGTATGTCCAGTTAAAGAGATAGTATATGAAGGAGAAGTATTACAGATTCCGGCAGTAGGTCAACCTAAATTATCAATGAGATTCTTTAAAGAACTCACTGATATACAGGTATGTTTGATTGAGATCAATGGGAGTAGCAGTGGCTCAGTGAGTTAGACGCTTGCTCTTTATTATTGGAGGTCCAGGGTTCTATTCCTGCAGAGGTCGAGATAATACCTTTGTATTTTCTCTGAATTCCTCCCTTGTCAGTGATGCAGCGGCCGACATGAAAAAGCGTTTAGTTGTTTAGATGGGACAGTGCTACAGGCTTTTCATGTTAAAGATCCCTCGACAGTTGGAAAATGAAAAAAGGCAGGTTAATGCCACTGTCCTGGCAAAAAAACCCTTATTGCACAATGCATGGCGTTGCAAGTCTTCATCAGCACATCAAGAAAAGTGCAGAAAAGTAGGACATAAAACACCATTTGTTTTTTTATGATCAAATCACTTTGTGCCTCTGCATTATTATTATTTTAGCATAATAAAGATCAAGAATTCACTCTTGCTTAGTTGCCCAGGAAGACCTAAACGAAACTGGTCAGGCTGTATTCACTAGTTCAAGGACAAAGTTAATCATGCTTGTTTCTTATACTATTTCAAGTTAGTTATATTTTGAAATGATTTCAGTTTGGAAGAAAACCAAGTGATATGGTAGAAATAGTAGAATAAGAGCAAGAGATCAACGAATACAGAGCTTCAAGTAACTAAACAAGAACACATCTTCTTATAAAATTTTATAGAATAGAATATCATTAACCATTTCTGAAAGAGAAAATGTTCTCTAAACCAGCTCATTTCACCTAAAGGAAATAATCAAAAATATTTTAAACAAACATGACATTGGGAACAAATGAATATTGGAAATTTTTGTAAAGAGGTGGTTTGTTGATATTTTATTAAATAAAATGTTTTTCTTTGCAACACTGTACCTAGGTTATGCTGTTAACTGTGATATTATATAACCAGGTTGCCTAGGTAACAGTTATTATATATATATTTGTATTTCGGCACCAATGTGTGTTGTTACCTTGCACAAATTTGCTTTCCTTCAAATTTGATCATTTAATTAACCGATATGCATCAATTTAAGCTTTGGAACAATTACTCAAATACATTGAATGTCATGATATCACCTTCCTAAGGTCATTGGGAGTTTAAACTTTGTTACCGGTGAGTTCAGCTAGATACCAAATAAGTTACTCTGTTTCCTAGTTACAGTGGCGGAGCCAAAAGGGGGGCCGTCCCCACTTGCAGCCCTGAAAGCCAGTTATTCAGGCAAAAATTTTAAAACTAGGTTAGAAATCTCAGCTATTTCGTCCCACCTCGTAAGTAAACCTGGCTCTGCCACTGCCTAATTAAATATATCAGCAAGTTGCTTTCCATTTTGCAGAGCCTCTTTTAACTTTAAAACCAACATTTCAAGCAAAATACAATAATAGAATGAAGGTTATGTTATGATCTTCTCTTCAAAATATGATTGCTTTGTAACTCTTTCAAAAAGACTTTGTCCCCATGATCAAATTTCACTTTTTAAGACAAATTTTACTTTAAATACAATGGATCAAGATAATATAATTCTGAGACTTGACAAATATCTTTGTCTTTTGTTGTTAACAAATTGCATAATACAGTAATTCCTCATTATCCATTCATATGAGAGAAATATTGGCATCTCAATTTTTGCAAAATAAAACCTAGTTTTAGTCATTTCTGTCTAAAAATTCAAAGTATGTTTTTTTTTTGTTGAACAAGAGAATACGATAACGGATTTTTGATTTTTAAAAGTGCTATGGATAGCTTGTATTTCATAAGGCAAATATTTAGATGATTATGTCCCTTGATACCTTTATCATGACAAGAGAATATGTTATGAAAAGTCACAGATCCAAAGATTTAGGTTAAATTATGGTTAAATTTTTAATATTAAATAAGGTCTTTCCTATAATATTGAAAATATCTGAATATCTTAAGTAGAATTGTTCATAAAATATTAGATTGTCAGATGTAGTTGTACCCTCTATATAAATCAAAAACATTTTTGCGTAAAGCAAGGAAATATTTTTTGATAAATGGAAAGGTAACAGTAAATTTTATTGAATTTAAAAAAAAATGACCCTGATAATCAAAATTTATACTTGGTTGACAGGTATTGTTGTTCAGTGGTATTAAAGAGATTACTTGTAAATAGACTACAGATAGATTATATTTTATAGACATCAACTATTTCTACACATTTTATAGTGCTATCTTTCTTAATTTGATTTGAGTAATCTAGGCAACAATCGAATTTAAACTAGATTACAATTTCAATTCCTTTTTTTTCTAATATTTTGTCTTCATTGTAATCTAATAAATTTTCTACCATAGTTAGGTTCCAATATCATTATTCTAAACCAATCAAAGCATGTCATGTTGGACCTGAATTGTGGGAAAGTGCAACTTGGAAAGCAATATGACAGCATCCCACAATTCTTTATTAATTTTAAGAAACAGGATCTACATCTTTGATTGGTTGAAAATAACATATTAGAACAAGACTGGTAGAAAACTTGTTAGATTACAATGGAAAAGAAAATTGAAATTGTAATTATATCAGTCTCAGACAGACTGTAAATATACAGTATAGTTCCAATGAAAGAACTCAGGATAACATTAGATCTGAATATTTTTTATTATTTGGTTGTTGTTTTTTATATGTGACAATACTGTTGTTTATATCAAAGTTCTAAATAGAACACAAACAAACCTATGATTTACCTGTGTTTTATATACTCTGATCACAAGGGCGTCCACGCAATGGGACAAATAGATTCATTTATTCAGATATCCTCCAGAATGCATCATTTCAAGGTAAAATCCCCCCCCCCCTCCCTCCCTATAAAGGAATTTTCAGACGCCCTTATCAGACTAATAACAGATCTGACTTATATTTTGTTACTTTTTCTTTTGATTTCAGTTTCATGACCATGCTATTGTATGTATTTTATCTGTGCACTTTGTTTTGTTTGTATTTGTTTCACAGTAATGAACTTGTGATCTATTTTTTAATAACTTTGATCTGAAAAAATATTCATGTGATTTACTATGATATTCAAATAGCATTTATACCGTTTTGTGTGCAACCAGATTTTTCTAGGCATAAGTATTTGTTTTGTGTGTTATTGTGGTTTTAGTTTCTGTTTTTTTTGGCTGTAAATTTCAGTCTTGTTTTGTTTTGATTATCTTTTTAGCATTTGCACTAATAATAAAAGCAATATCAAAAAATGTCAAAATACAAAGAAAATCAGGGAAAGAGTAAAAATGAATTCAGTTGTATCAGAAGTAATCCCAATGATTTTGTCCGCAAGAACTAATGTAATTGACTTTTATCATAGAATTAGTGTCATCAAATATTATTGCAGCCAAATCCTTAATACCTGCAGTCAGATACAAAATCAGGAAATAAGATTATGTCATTAATATAAAATTCCTTATTATTGAATCAAACAGTTTATTCATCGAGAAGATCTTCCCTGACAGACTGATTAAAATTAGACCCAACTTTCGCTTTTTAAGAAAAAAATTATTTTGAATATAGCCACTTCAGAGTAGGGTGGACTATAATAAAAAGATAGCTTGCCAGGCAAGGTAATATATGCCAAGTGGCAGCTTTGATTTTGAATAAAAATATTTGACAGTACAGTAACAATTACCAGTATGAAATATTCAACCTTCAGACATACACTTCTTTTGAACTTTTTGGGGTGTTACTGAAAAATATTACCAAGTTTTGTAAAACTCTGTCAAGAATTGTGCCTTCTAGAGTGTTGACGAGTTAAAAATTCCTGGTCTCCAGGAATTAAAAACTAATAAATAAATGAAACAAAAGTTGAGTAAATAATGCTACAACAAAGTTTTTTTTGCAATAACTTAATATTTTTCTGATTTTCAATAGGCTTCATCCTTGGGTGATTACAAACACTCACACCTAGTTTCGTAAAAATCTGTCCATAATTGAACTTTGAAGTTTCATGTAGGCATATATGATTATAAACCAGACGAAAGTTGAGTCTAATTTTAATTATTAGACTGGTATTGATATATTGCCAAGCTTCAAATTTGTATCTTTCTTTGTGTAGAGCCATCTATGTTCAAAATATATGTGTGATTTTTAGCTTTGTTTTCACAAATTGTTGACTTTATTAGTTTCCTTCAGTATTTAATTGTTTAAGACAATAAACGGGTTCTTAGTTGTGTCTCAAAATGAATAAAATAGAGGTGATGAGATAATTATATCAAATTATAAAAACATTATTATACTTAAACAAATCAAAATCCATTCTTTAAATCCTTTACAGAGGGGAAAAAAGATTTTGTTAATTGCAGTGTGGACATTTTTGTAAACTTTTCATTTGGAGATCAGGAAAATGATTATATTTAAAATCTGTCTAATTATTTATTAAACTTTTGCTTCGTTTTCTTTTATTAGTTTTCATTTTTAGTGTAGCCACAGAATAGGGTCTAATGATCGGACCTTTGAACATTCATCAAAATAACCGTTTGACCTAATCTGATGACATCTACTTTAACCAATCGAAATTCTTCAATCTCTCACAAACCGTCAACGCTGGAGAAGGTGTAAGTTTGATTGGTTAAAGCAGGTTAGGTCAAAAGGTTATTGCAGTGGGTAAAGTAATCAAAACTAATAAAAAAACGAAATGAAATTTGGGTCTCATTTTAAAGCAATGCTACAACAAATTTTTTATTCATGAGAGTGGACCAAAAAAATTGAATTCAATCGACTATAGCAATTTAGATTTATAGCAAGTATTCTTTATACAGTGCTCACCACCTTTCAATGGTATAACCTTCACAATATATATTATGTAATGTTTTGATATGCTGCCTCACATAATAAAGGATTTTTCTTTTCAACATTTTATTGTGCTTAAATTCCTAAACTGAGTTGTTAGTTCAGAAATATGTGTGTTATAAACTGCACTTAAAGATCCCTTGACAGTTGGAAATCAAATAAGAGTGGTAAAATTTCCCTCATTGCACAATGTTTCCTGTCTTCAGTAGCCCATTGGGTGCAGAAGTTTCATTTTTTTCTAAACCGAGGCGTTTGATACCAGTCTACGACATCTTTAGTGCTCATAGATCTTTCCACCTTCCTTTCAGTGATACGGGAATATCCCCTGTCATTTAGTCCAAAAGTATTTCAGACTTGAATGTCCCAAAATCTGGAATTGACAAGTGATTTAACTTGTATCTGGCCAGGAAAAGCTCCCTCATTGCACAGTACATATCTTTTATTATCTTTCTATTTTCTTTTAGTTTCTAACAATACAATTTTCCAACGTAAGTTAAAATAACTCAAATATACCATTACATATCTACACAATTGAATACTGAAGATTCCATCATGCAGACAAGACTAAACATAGTGACCGAACATAGCGAACATTTCATATTTACATATGCGTGAACAAAAAAAAACATTTACATCTTATTGTTTTATTATAATACAATATAATATTATTGACATTTCTTTCAAAGAGATACAAATTTGTTATAAATATAAGCTATTTCAGCTAATAGAACCTCATTTACTTAATTTCAGATGTGTCACTTCAGAACGTTCCGAATTTATCTCAAAATGTAGACATGAAAATAAGTTCTACTTGTGCAACTTCAGTAGGGGTGCAGGCTGAAAATTGGTCAGTTGACTGAGAAATTTTTGTTATTATGTGTACAGGTAAATAATATATGATCATAAGTGATTCAGGCAGCTGATAATTATGGAGGTCAATTTATGCCATTAATCCATCAATTTAGTTAAGTTACGTGTGAATATAAACATTTGATTTTAGTATTTCAATCATTATGTTGTTTGAATTATAAGTACTAGTTAATAGGATATTTTACATTTGTCTTTGAATCAGTGAATTAGACAAATCAGTAGAGCATGGATTATTGGCGAAATTTACCTCCATAGATAATATTATCAATTAACTAGCAAAGCGAAAATTTGATAATGAACAAACACCAACATAAAATGAACAAAAGTAAATGACAAGATCACAAACCCGTAATTCCATGTTTTATCAAAGACTGATAATGTATGCATTATGTATCGAGGTGGCCAAAAAAAAAAAACAATAACAATAAATTTTGGTTTTTAAAAGTGGTTCAACCAATTAAGTTGTAATTTGGTGAAAAGATGTCTAATATATCTATAATTATGAGGTTAACTATCATGGCCATAGCTTTGATATTTTATGAATGATCCTTAATTGGAAAGTGTAATTGTTTTTTCAGGCCCACCTGATACTATTAGCTTCTATTTGAACATTCCCATTTCGCATTCAATGTTGGTGGTTCATATAAAACTACTATAACCAAATGGTTAAAGCAATGAACCTTACAAGTTATATTCATACTGCTTGTTGGAAATTTACAGAAAATATACAGTGAAAGAATTTGAGCATAAAAGAATTAAAATGAATAACTTTGAGATAGATGAGATAACACAAGACTCAAAATCTACTGGCAAAAGATTCTTTTGAGTAACTCATGCTGATAGAGGAAAGAAGAAAGAAAGATACAACCATTTTTTACCAGGATAATGACTTAAATTTTGATCAACTTTCATGTTTAAATGATGTTGAAATACACTGCAGACTTACAATCTGCATGATGGAATATTGACATATTTCAAAAAATATTAATGAATGTAGTTTATAAAGGCAATATGGAAACACTATGGTTAAAGTAACACAATGTTTGTTGATGTGTTTTCCTCCAGAAAAAAATTAACCATCCACAAGCAATGTGTCATCAATGATATGGTATCATCCAAGAACTTGGTATCATCAATGAAGAAAGTGCCATCAATGATATGGTATCATCGAAGAACTTGGTTTCATCCATGCATATGGTGTCATTAAAATATCATGGTATCATCCAAGAACATGATGGTGTCATCAAAAAATATGGCACAATCCAAGAACTAGGTATCATGAATGAACATTGTACAATCAAAAATCATGGTATCATCCAAGAATATGGTGTCATAAAAAAAAATTGGTATCATCCAAGAACTTAGTATCATCCATGCATATGGTGTCATAAAAAATCATGGTATCATCCAAGAACATGAAGGTGTCATAAAAAAATATGGCATAGGTATCATGAATGAACATTGTACAATCAAAAATCATGGTACCATCCAAGAACATAGTGTCATCAAATATCATGGTATCATCTAGGAGCTTGGTATCATGAATAAACATTGTACAATCAAAAATCATAGTATCATCCAAGAACATGTGGTGTCATCAAATATTATGGTATCATCCAAGAACTTGATATCATGAATGAACAACGTGCCATCAAAATCGTGGTATTATCCAAGAGCTTGGTATCATGAATGAACATTTTACAATCAAAATCATGGTATCATCCAAGAACATGGTGTCATCAAAAATCATCGTATTATCCAAGAGCTTGGTATCATGAATGAACATTAATGTAATTAAAAAATGTGGTATCATCCATGAACAGTCTCATACATGACAATTTACAGTCTCATCTCCCCATATACAATATTTATCTCTTCATCAAGACCAGAATAAAATACTTATTGCCATGGCAACACAACAAGCTCCTACATAGGGACTTTTTCTTTCTCCTGAAAAAAAGCAAATTACAAATATAGAAGAGACTACACTTAATTAAAATTTCAAGAATTCTTGTGTAATGCAATGAAGACAAGAACAAAAAAAATACAAACTTACAAAAACACATATAATTAAGACATGTAAAACATAACCCACAATTGGTATATGGGAAAACATTTATTTCACCTTTGATTAATAATTCAATATTTTTCAAAATTAAACCAAACTTTCATTAAGCTCTTTTATTAGCTTTTATTTTCCAAATAGCCACACAGTTATAAGACTGGCCTCTTCACCATTCGTCAAAATAATATTTTGACCTAATCTGATTACATCTTCTTTAACCAATCAAATTCCTCCACTCTCTTATAAAATGCCAGCACTGAACAAGGCAGAAATTTGATTGGTTAAAGCAGGGTTATCAAAAGGTTATTTTAACAAATGTTTAAGGGGCTGGTCTTTAGACCCTAAGTGAAGTGGCTATATTAAAAATAAAAGCTACTAAAAACAGAACGAAAGTTTGGTATAATTTTTAATAACTGTTACACTTTTTCCATTATATTGTAACACTACAATTTACTCAAAGCATCATACTCACCAATTCTAGCAAACTTCCAAAATATACCCAAAAACCTGCAAATTTTACAAAAATAAATAATTATTGCACAAAGAACCCAATAATTGGAAACCGCATCTTAACAGTGAATATGACAATTCTTCAAAACTATTTATTTGATAGTTTGAGACTAAGGCAATGCAGCAGTTCCGTGTGATTAAATCAAATTGCTGTAATTTCAATCTCTTAAATCAATTTTCTTTCATTGTGCATTAAAATTCATTAGATTTTCATTTTGAAAAGTAATACAGGGAGCTTTATTTTGTTCTATCTGACAATAAGCATTTCGTTCTCATACTCTACAAGTCTGCATTAACTTGATATAAGTACCTAAATCATGGGTCTTGTGGAAAGTTCATGCGTAAATCTTAAGATGCTTACCCAGTTTTATTTCTATCTATGATACTTGGCATTATAGATCGAAGATAGGTACATGTACATATCAACAACAATAACACTGTCAATAAACTTTGGAAGTTAAATAAGGCTGACTGAAAAAAAAGAAATGAAACCATACAATTTTTTCTTCATTATTGACAATAGAATAATCCTCACATCACCCTTCCCCATTCCCAAATTGAACCTGTTCTATTTCACCTCTTTCGCTCCTTCCCACTTTATCCCTACCCAATTCATCTCTTGACACTATTTATGTGGTTTGTAGTGAAATGTAGAAAAATTGTGCGTTCCAGTTTATTCTTTATCGAAATCCAACTGCCTCAGGATCTTAAAGATATACTACCTCTTGAAATGCACATGAAATTTAACTTTGAGCAATAAGAGTACATTGTCATCAGTGGACTTACATGAGGTTATAACTATGCAATAGTCTCTGTGTGTGTGATCCCCATCATGAGCGAAAAACGCGGGTAAAGTCCAAAACTGAGTAAATATTATTATTGATAAAAATATAAATTTTATGTTCATTCTAAGAGGTGGTATTCCTTTATATGTGTGCTAGGCCTAATCCAACATATGCCTCATAATGATGATAAGGGGCGAAGTGGGGAGGGCTGTTATTAAAGCTTATATTCATTTAACAAAATGTTTAAGTTCTTTATGTCATTCTACCAATTTAATTGGGAAGGAAATTGTTGGGCAGCTGCTAGGCCAACAGATTTACCTTCCTACCCTAAAATCTAAATATAGTCCATGTTTGTTTTACTTTCGTTTTGCTACACGATACTAACTAATGATTTATAAGAATTATCATGCTGATTTTATAAGCAACGTATTAAAGCATTAAATTAAATAATATCTGTATTTCTTTTCGGTAAGATACGTGATTATTACCATTTTGAATTTAGAAGAGCACTCTATTTCATTTTCTTTAGCTGGAAATAAAATATCATCGACGTGTTGATATATCTATAATTAGAAACATAATCTAATTGGCTCGTTGGAAAGTTCTAAGCCAATCAGACAATATCAATTGCTATGGCTTCGTACATTCTCAAAAAAGGGGTTTTAAAACATGAAACGCAAAGATGCTACATCCTAGGAACTATATCAATTATTTCAAAAGAAAAAAGAATAAGCTTTGATATATTTCAATTGAATAGAAAAATAGAATGAGTACGTCAGTTACTTTATTTTCAACATGATACAATAGTTGTTCGTTTCTTAATAAGTTAGGTGAATACTTTTAGAAAATGGCGTCTAAACCATGTAAACAAACGTAATCTTCATTTATCTTCGAAATCCTCCTATACGTATGTAACTGGGGACATTCCAAAAGGTAAAATATGATAGAAAACAGTCTTATTAAAATTTTCAGTGAGGTGTCACGCTCTATCAATTGCTTACTCTACGTTCTGCCTCTGTGGACTAGTCCTTTATCGATTTGGACATAGGTCAGGCTGGTGTAGAGACAGAAAAATAAAGGCCCTGTAAAATGGAAACATTCTGCATCTCCACAGGTGCACAGATTTTAAACCTATTTAGATATCTTGGATCTGCAAAACCCAGATGTACATGGAAATATGAATATTTTTGTAGTTAGTCATACCATCATTTTCTCCCTACATCATTTATGTCACGTTTCCGGTTCCAAAGTTTTTTTTTAACGAAACTTTTATTGCTTCATCCATTTACAACTTCATGAGCCAAAAGTTCAAATCTCACAGCGTCACATGATACTTACAAAACAAAAGTTACGGTGATGCCTAACACCAATATACAGTCATCGTAAAGGTAATTTAATGTAAGAAAACGCATCTTTGAAGGTATATTACAGGGTTAATTTTTTCCAACTCTACTCAAGCAACAACTGTTAAAATATCCATCAGAGGCCGGATTAGAGGCAGATGTTTCGGTCTTTATCCAACTTAGACCAAAACATTTTAAAAGTTGTCAGCTGGTGTAGAGACAAAAAAATTAAGCCCTCTTTTTTGGGAAACTTTTTAAATTTCAAACGCAGATGATGCTGGACAAGACTGATTTGAAGGCTCAAATTTGACGGTGAGCTGAGTGATTGACTTAGCTAAAATCTTCCCATTTCTGACCAAAGGTATGACTGGTCAAAAAAATGTTGCATCTGTCCCTTTATTGTAGGTTTAATAAATCCATCCTATCCAGATATTTTCAGAAAGATGTATAATTTTGTAGTTCAGGAATGCCATCATATTCCCTCTACGCCATTTATGTCGCGTCTGCGGTTCCATAAAAGTTTTTTTTTTAAAAAAGATATTGATATTTTGTGACCAATTCAAACTGCGTGCGCAGCGAAAAGTGCAAAGGTCACAGAATCCTTTGATAATAATTCAGAGGTTTGGAAAATCCCCACTAAACAGGGTCTAGTTTTTCTGACTTTTCTTCTCCAGCGGACAACTGTCAAAATATCTATCAGAGGACTATATCCAATATAGAAAGTGGTTTTTATCTGTAAAGATCAATTCCAAGATATTTGGCCAAAGATCAGCTGGGCCCTAATTGTGAACCTGATTTAACTTACATGATTTGTTATATTATTTAATTTTAAGGATTTTTGAATTGAATCTTTTAAATTTTAGCACTGATAATGAGTAAGAAAGTATTAAGTAAACTATCTGTAAGTGGAAGTAAGAAGAATTATTTTTTATTATCAACCACAACAGAAGACAAAGAAGATGGTTTTCAACTTATTTTATCAAATGGAGAAAGTGTTTGGGAAGGAGAATGTATGATATTTTTACTATACTTTTGTACAGACCATATAAGTTTTCAAATAGTATTAAGGTAGGAATAGACGATGTACGGTATCTAGTGCGGTGTACATTGTCTGATGATCGATACAGTAGAAAATAGAACAAGATAACACGTGAGGTACAGGTCCGGTCACGGTGCAGACACGATTGGCTTCTACTACTACTTACTACTGTATCGATAATCCCGCACCGCACACCACACCAGGCACCGACCTCGTCTATTCCCACCTTAAGTTTGTACATGCTCTACCAGTCTTTCCATTCATATTTACTGCATCTTCACATTGATGGGGTATTACAAACTCTGTACTCATACCTTGATTGCAATAGCCACTATCATGGAATGCAGTAATTTCATTGGTTTGTGTACAGCAGCACATATACAGCTAGTTAAAATGGACTAAATGAATGTAGTAAGCATTGTGGGTTTGTGTTCACAGACTTTTTGTCAGGGCCTCTGATTGACTGTATTCGCTAGCAACCATCCAATCAAATCCCTTCATTTAAAAATATCCATGGTATAGGCCTACTAAACGCTTATTGCTACCAAAAAATTGTAAAGAAGATTTAGAGCAGACTTGAATACTTGAATGTTTTTTTCATGATTTTGTGTCAAGATAGCACTGGTTTAGTCAAGTTCTTTCAAATGAATTTACAAACAATTTTTGTTAAAAAATGAGAATCTTACCTCAGATTTTCATTTTGAAAACTAAGACTAAAATAGCAGATTTACATATAAAAATTAGATCAATAGATACATGCCTTTTGAATTGTATTTATTATTTTAGTATCAGCAGATGAAATAGACAAACAGAGGAAGAAATTAAAGATGGATTTTAACACATATTATATACAGACAGAGAAAGCCTTTACTCGTTCAGATGAAGACAAGAATTATGAATATCAAATCAAAATCAATCAAGATGATACAGCTAATTTATCATGGAAGAAACATGTTACTAATGATGATATCAAGGTAACATTTGTTAATTTTGAGTTATAAGGGCACTTCTTAGATTCGATCTGATTTTGGTGAAACTTGGTATATGAATTTCTGATGAATAGTCCATGACACAATAGAAGCTAATAGTTATTAAGCACAACTTATTATGCACCTCTTGATGATTTCTTAGTCAAATTCAAATTTTTAGTGAATGCCTTAAATTTATTAAAATTCAGAGGAATATATATTGAATAATTTGATTTATTTTGATCATTGCTTTTAATTTAAACCTGTCTGGAAGAAATTCAGTACATAACATATGAATATTTTCAAAGTTTTTGAACTACGATTGCACTATGAAATTCTTGATACAATACAAATATCAATTCTGACAGCAAGATGCCAGTGATGGTCGATGTAGAGAAAACACCCCTTCTCTCCCCTTCCGAAAAAAGGCAAAGATGGGACTTAAGTTCTAATTTTCTAAGTCTTGAATCACTGAATCAGTGTCATTGATTTGAAAAGAAACAATGCTGTTTGTATGAGGAATTTAATGTATACCAAGTTTCATTGCTCATAACTCTTAAGTAGGTCTATGAACTTTTCAACCTCCCACACTCCTGATGTTACTCAGCTATGTTTCATTTTTATACACCCACATTATAATATGGTCATATATTGTCGTCGGTCTGTCTGTCAGTCTGTCCGTCAACAATTGGCTTGTGAACACAATAGGGACAACAGTTTACATTCGATTGCCCTTCAGTATGAAAAAAAACACACCAAAACCATTGGCATAAGAAAGTCCCAAGAAGAAAACATTGCAAATTTGTGGGCATTTATCACCATGCCTAACAGGCTATGTTTTCACCAGGTTGACAACTGTATATCTGCAAATTTAAGCTCTGAAATTTACAAGTTGACTATTAATTTCTAGTTTCAGCTTGGACATGTTGTATTATTATTGAAAGATGATGTTTCATCTAGTGTTTGTTCTATATTAGAACATTGTGTGAAGACCAATAAGTTGAATACTGACAGAATCCACTCATTACAAACAGATAATGAAAGATTATCACAGGAGAGAACCATGGCTTTAAAGGTTAGCAGTTTATCTGGAAAAAATTAAAAATGGTGATTTCAATTGTTTTTAAAGAAGGGTTCCCTTATTTTCATTTATGAAAATGAAAATGCTAATACTTATATGCATAGAAAGTAGAGGTGTTTTACTGATGTGGAAAAATACCAGTTTGTCTCACATGTCCATAATCAATTTATAATTAACCAAATTAGAAGAGAATTACCAGCAGAATTCTAATGAGTGACATTTTCATAAATAATGATAAGGGAAACCATCTTTAAAAACAATTGAAAATTATCTGCTTTTTATACACCAACATGAAATAGGGGGCAATATTCGACAGATTTTGACAAAACTTTGTAATATTATTCAGTATCGCCTCAAAAAGTTCAAAGGAAGTATATTAGAATTTAGTTTAAATATGATCAGAATCATGTTAATTAATTAATTCTTATTTCAGAGACTAGAGAAATGTGTAGCTGCTAAAGAAGAAATGGAGAAAGATCTATATTCTAAGGTAGTATTGTTACTTACCGTATATTTCCCAATATAATGCGCAGTTTTTTAGCCCTTACAGAAGAGATTTGCACTTTACACAGTGAAATAAATTTTGAGTTTTTTTCTTTCGAAAATACCACAAATCGATGTTGAGGATCCGCCATTTTGTCTTCCTTCATTGCCATGTTGTTATGTTTATAAGAGGTTTAATAACTTTAATGTATTTTGTAAATATTTTGTATTAATATATTTGAAATTGCTAAACTGAAATAGGTATATTAATATATTATTCTAACTGGCTATTATGAAATACTGTAATTAAGTAAGGAGAGGGACAATGTGTGACACTATAATTTGTGAGCTACTTGTACTTGCATGTTAATTAATCAAATTATAATTTATCTTTACTGATTGTCCACATGAAGTTTAAATTTGATTAAAAAAAGCACACAAAGTGACATGCTGTATACAACTGAATTTTAAAGATTTCTAATAATATGTAATGGCTAGCCACAAAATTTGGGCACTTCATCATTGTTAAGAATTTGCAGTAAAAGCCTGAAAATGAGAGAATGTTTGATTTAATTTAATTTTACAGTTTGTAGCTGTGTTAAACAGTAAAAAAGAAAAATTAAGGGAATTAAAAGAAAACAGAAGTTCTGGTAAGTTTGATTTCAGTGTTAATCCAATACAGATTCTAGTTGTGTCTAAAAGTGATGAATAAGAATAAAATGCTTTGAAAGAAATATCTAGATTATTATTGCAAAGAGAGTGTGCAAGAATGTATAATGTGCACCCCGTCTTGCCCTCCAGCATATCTGTCACAATATGCGAAATCCGGCCTGAGGAAAAAATCAACAAGTTGGCATAACACAGACACCATGATATTGAGTTGTAATGTCCATGGCTGTAACTTTTTGGGGCCTACTTGTAAAATATTTCTACAACATAGTCTACTCTTTTACTCCTTATAGTTTTAAACTTCATTTTTTATTTAAAAAATGAATATTTATATGTGTATGAAATCTGTTACTTTCATTCTCGTAATATTTAATCTGCAATTAATCGGAACCAAGTAAATATGTCAGATTGCTGAAATATTGGAGTACTCCGAAGTCAAAATTAACAGAGTATATTGATAGTATTTAAAAACAAGAGGTATTCTGAAGTAGGACTGGGCGATATTGGTTCAAGTTGATATCACGATGTTAAGCATTAATATATCACGAAATGGGTATATATCCTTATACCATAATTACCATATATCACAATATGGCGGTATTTCGGTATTTTTTAATCAGGCGATATTATTAACAATATAAATTTCAATATCGGTATTTATAGTGATACTGTATATCGCCCAGCCCTATTCTAAAACGAGTCTACTCATACTTTTTATTGAGCCTTTGGGTGACAACCGTAGTTTAGTGTAATCGTTGAAATTGATCAAAAGTATATATTATCTATATTTATCATATTTTTACAGAAGTTTCAGAAGAAATTACCTCCTCACCACCACCAAAACGTAAGATAATGAAAATATTTTTATATCATCTATGATTCGGAATGTGTTATGTTTATTCTAGCCTGACAAATCTGGCCTATATTTGGATGGGATATCAGAACTGGGTTTAGGGCGAGACATATAATCTTTATTTTCATGGGAACCAATTTTTGGATCACTAAATTTTGAGAATTTTCACTTTGAGAAAAGCTGAATTTGGCATAAATTATGGTAGCCTTTCTATACAAAAATGAACCATCAATGAGTGGATCAAGATGTAAACAAATATTTTGCGATGTCTCATGGTCTCACATTGTACCAATATACAGTCAAGGAATATGTCTTTCCCTGCTTCGCACAACTCTGTAAGCTAAGCCTACCCCTTGAATGTATTTTGATACCGTGTGGGCACAGGGACAATGTAAATCATACAGCAATGTCTTGATGGACTCATTAATGGTTCAGCTTTGTATATTTGAACTTGCAACACATAAACAAAATCATCAAATGTATTGAGTCAGTGGAGAGTAGAGTTGGTCTGTGTTTTTACAGCTTCAACTTCAAGAGCTAGTTCTATTAGAAATGGAAGATCAAGAAAGAAGAAGATGGTGGTGAAGGATGATGATGAAATGAGGTATGATGAACTTGATTAAGATTAATATACTTCAGCTAAGATATATAAGATATATATATTTTGCCAGCCTGCCTTTTTTAAATTTCCGACTGTCGAGAGATCTTTAATGTGCACAACAAATGACCAGGCATTTTCCATGTCAGCCCCTCTTACCTGCATCCCTGACAGAGCGAAACCAGGTTAAAAATCCGAAGGTATTATCTCGCTCTATGCCAGGATTGCCTCTTAAAATGTATAAGAAATGTTTATTATTTTCAGTGAAGAGATGAATACAGATGAAGAAGAGGTATGATGATGTTATTATTCAGAAATAATACAAATGGAACCAACTTGCTTTTGTAAATGAAAAGTTACATAGTTTAAATTTCTATTAATGGAAAGTCATATGAAGACTACCTAGCTAGATTAATGCTTTATATTGCAATTAAATTGATCAAAAAAATTTATGATTTATCACTAAAAGTAATCATGTAAATGTTTATATGACATATCCTATCAAACATGCATGGCTGGGGTCTTTTTTCTTTGAGGCAAAAATCCTGTTGTCTTTGAAGTCTGATCTGTCTTCTCATTGCAGTGATTTTGGCAGACTTCAGATGATAACCACCTTTATAGTATATAGGCACAATTTTATGGAACAACAATAACTGGATAAAGTTTTATGCAACGTTTCAACGTGTTTCCCTGGCACGTTGCATAAAACTTTAACCAGTGATTATTGATCCATAAAGTTGTGCCTATATACTGTGCTTACAGTTATTAAATGCCATTTAAAGACTTCAACTTTACAATAGATATCAAAAAACAATATATTTAGCAGATACCATATTTTTTTTTTTAATTCTTCAAACCAAATTTTTTTTGGTCAAATTCTACATGAGACATTTTCCTTGATATAGCTGCGGCCCTGTTATTAGTATTTGTGTCTTCTGCCAGTTTTAAATGATCCATAAAATTTTCTGCAGACTCCACCACCAAAACGTCAACGTAAAGCAGCCACTGGTAACAATATGTCTGATGGTGATACTTCATTGGTTTTAGAAGATGATGTCTCTACATCTACAGTAGTTACAAGGTAGACATCTGAAACAAGTTCTCTTCTGTAATCCTAAACTGTCTCATCAATTAATCATTTTCATTGCTTTTCAATAAAAAATACTAAAAAGAAATAAGAGTTGATAATGACAATCAAATATAAATTTTTAATAAAAATATGCTTTAGCTTGATAAATGGTTTGAAAAACTAGCAAGCTATATATGAATTAGTGCTGGCACGACATATATTGGTGAATTGATGTATCGTGATACAACATGTCAACTGCCTATCATATTGCAAGGTTGTGTATCGATACTTGATGATACCTCTCATTTCCTCTCATTCCATAAAAAAGTGGGTATTTTTTTATCAGTCAGAGATTGTAATCACAAATTTTTCATACAGACTTGATTAAAATTGATCACTCCTACAACTACATTACCAAATATCACAGTTATAAAGTTATAAATTAATAAATATTGAAACTTTGAAGATAAAGTGTGAATTTTTATCCTATTACCCTTGTATCGCAATGAGTATTGTATCGTGACCCTTGTATCACAATGCGTATTGTATTGTGACCCTTGTAATGTGATGCGTATTGTATCGTGGCATGATTGGCGATACCCAGCACTTATATGAATACAGTGATAACTTGAATACTAGTATGGGTTCATAATGCAAGGGGTGGAAAACTGAACTTTGATGAAAACGAATGAATGGCGAAAATTTTCATGAAACTTTAACCAAACCTGGGAAAATGAGATGTTTTGGAAAATGATTTTAAAAATCAGAGTTAATAAAATATTGTTAATGCTGTACCCTCATTTTAGTTGCCATTTTAACTCTGGCATCTTTTAAAATGAAACAAATTTTTACCAAGTTGAATTGAAGTATATACTGCATAACTAACAGTGGTCCATTTTCTGAATCTTTATATTGTAGACCTGCTAGACAGAGAGCTGGAACAAAGAAAGCTACCCCATCAAAACCTGTTCTACCCAAAGTCACAAGAAATCACTCTAATGAAAGGTCTGTATTATTGGTCAATGAATCCTGCATCATAATTCCCTAACAGATAGACAGTAAAAATACTGTTAAATGCATGTCTGCAAACATTTTTTTGTGACAAAAAGTCTGTTGCGACAAAAAGTCTGTTGCGTTTGCAAAATGAATTGTTTTTTGTTTCAAGCAAAAAATTCCTTAAAATTTTGTCAAAATGGTTTGAATTTTTAACAAATGTTATGGAAACAAATAATTTCATTCTGTTGTGTGCATTTAAAAAAACATTTTCTATCCTCCACCAACCAATATATAATATCTCACATAGAATAAATTTGCAATAGAACCCTGTGATTATGTGAGACAAAATTCACTTGATAAAGCCGCAAGGACTGAGCATCCATTGAGCTCATTCAGCCACGCTAGAAGCAAGAGTTCTTTGACACAATAGTAAAATGATAGGAAAAATACTAAAACAAAAAAAAGGAGAAAGATATAAAAGAGAGATGACAAAATTAATGAAAAAAAATGTTGCTCCTGGAGAAGAATAATGGGAAAATACTCAAACTTTACGGTTGAAAACTTCTGATATGCTTGAATCACAGATTCTGGAATCTTTCAAATCACGACTAAAAACTCAACTTTTCAGAAGAGAACACTCTGATGCAAAATGCAAATCTTGTCATCTCTTTTTATCATTTTTTGTCTTATTTTTTATTAATCTTATCATCTCTCTTTTATATTTACATCTTTCTCCTTTAACCTGTGGTCAATGTAAAAATATGCTATTTTCTGTTTCAGTGGAAGTTCAATGAAAACTCGAATGAGTAAAAGTAGTTCAAACAACTCCAATATAGATGCTGAAGATTTATTTAGTGATTTATAGTCTATTTCAAATGTTTTATTTGTTATTGTATATTTTTTTTAAATTCCCATTTTCACATACACATCTTGCAGGAATTCTAAAAAGGTTTTCTAGCATCTTTAAGTATACCTTTATATTTTCTCTTCTATAGTTTGTTGTTGGATTTGTCTAAGCATTGACTACTGGATTTAATGGACTGGTTCGTCATCCATTTGACCAATTGTACCTTAGTCTCAGAAACAACAGGAATTTTAAATTAAGCTAATCTCTAATAGGTTTTCAGCTCACAGTCCAAAATTGATTCTTCAAATCCTTGTGTGTTCAGAATTTGAAAGTGAAAATGATGAGTCGTCTTTTCTTGGGACTCTGCCATATACAGAAAAGACATCTATAGAAATATAGTAAGTGAAATTCCTAGTTTGAGGTATTTTTGAAGGAATTATGCTATTTTTGTACGTATCTAGTACCTCTAGGCTATTTACATATACTCAAGACCTAAAGTTAACCCTGAAAATGGAGAACGATTTGATTTCCCTCACATAAGAACTCTTTTGTACATTAAAAAGCTAGAAAACCAATTTACAATTCCTTCAGAATATTCACAAAATTTCATCATGGCAGCTAAATTATTTTATCATATTCATTTTTATATTGACCAACTACAAGCAATTTTTTATGTTCTCAGTGTTCAATAACAGAATCCCTCTTTAATCCAATAAATCCATAAAACAAAGTAATAATTCATAGAGAAGAAGTTGGCGAAAAATCACTGATAATTAATTGTGTATTATGTACGTATATATTATGAATAGATTACATATAAAAAGTGATACTCTTATGTTAGTATTTGGAAATACATTTTTTGAATTAATACAAATCCATAAAATGTATTTAACTTGCAACCTGGTGTTCCATCACTTGCTAGAGATGACACTTTCAAGAATTTTCATACCAGTTTTCCCTTGCCAGCGTTACAGTAGGCACATTGTTCATATAAAACATCCTGTGACAGTTAAAGATGGATTTCCTCATTTTTACTCTCAAATTAAGCAAACTATTTGATTAATTGGTGTTTCTAATGAATTATCGTGTATTCTTAACCACATCTTCATGTTCTTATTGCATATAAATAACAGTTTTGACCGATCATAAATGCCCATGTGTGTACAGTCTGGATAAACAAAAAACAGACTTTTTGACCTTTCTTGATCGGTCACTCATTGGAATTCTGCTGGTAATTCTCTTCTAATTTAGCTAATTATGAATTAATTATGGACATGTGAGACAAACTGGTATTTTTCCAAGTCATTAGAACACCTCTACTTTTTATTCATACAAGTATTAGCATTTTCATTTTTATAAATGAATAATAAGGGAACCCATCTTTACAAAAATTAAAAAAGTGGCTCAAGTGCATAGTTGCAACCCTCACACGTAGTATTTGAAAGGGTCATCTGTTATACAAAAAATAGAATTGATTACCGTATTTTATCGCCTGATCGAGGCGAATTTTAAAATCACTAAAAAATTCACTTGTTGGACACGGCGATTTTTTTACGCCCGTACGAATCTCCGGCATGAGATATTTTCAGCAAATTCGGTCGTCAGCCCGTGTCCGGGGCCGTCATACTTTAATGGGAAATTGACACCTTTAAACCAATCGGACGTGATGTTGATATCATTTGATCATTTGCTGACTCCGCTTTCTTTATTGATCATATGATCGATGGAAAATTTCCGCCGACTTAGACTCTTATAATCGCTACTTGTGTCCCTTCGAAATCGGGCTTAAAAAACCTCTGGTGATTTTTAACTATGTATAGAAGACATGTATATCAAAGTGTTCTCTTTGAAAACATTTTAACATTTCATTGCTTCATTACCGAAATTCCTATTGTTTATGTGAACAACTGATAATTGATTGAAAATCTGTTAGAGCATTAAAACACGTTCACATAAGTACCTCATGGTGGTTCTGCATGTACTGGTATGTTCAGAGTTAAATTGAAGGCCATCGAACAATTTTTGCTTGCAAATTTGCTATTCACGGCAATTTAGACGAAAATGTCAATGTACGCTTTTATGCCATTTTTACAACCATCGGCCATTTTTGTATGTTCAGAACCAGTGGACCTTGAACAGTGGTTACCAACCTTTCTCAGTCTTCATACCCATGTAGCAATCACCTGGACCTTTCACACCACAAAAATTTCTTTCATCTACATTTTCAGCATGTGTTGATATGAGGTGCTCTCTTAATTCAAAACAAATTCTTCTCCTACACCAGTTAGCCACAGCCTTGACACCCTAGCCCCACACCTCAGGTTGGGAACCGCCCAGAGATGTGACCTTGAGAGATGTGACCACTCACCGAACATGGACATTTCGTCATGAATGGCAAATGTATTTTAAGGCTAGTGTTTCTAAAGTATGAATTGACCTGCTCATCCCAGTTCCTTACTCTGAGGATGACTAATAAAGTCTCCTGTCGAGAGATCGTCATTCAACTTTCCAATGAGAAAAGGAATGTCAAATATGATGTTCACATGACAATAGTCATTGAGATAATAAGAATCAACTCTGGATGAATAACACTATCATCAGAAAAATGAGCAACCAGGTCGAATTCTGATGATGATTGGCATAATTTGAAGAGAATGAGAAGTACATATCAACACCAACATGTCAACATATCGGAAAATGCAAGAGCAAATACTTTGAAAACATTAATGAAAATACATGTAACAACTTGGGGAAAACAAGCGGGTGGTAAATTGTTAACTCATATAATGTAAACAATCCAAAAGAGCAACTGTCCCCACTAGTCAATAATAGTATCCCTTTTTTTACTGCAATTGAGTCAGTCGCCTCGGAAATCTGTTTCCGATTAAGTAAAAAGTGCTTTCTATCTGGAAATCAGCAAATGTTACCACAATACTTAAAGATAGCTTTCCAGGCAAGTTATATACGCCCACTGGCATCTTTGATTTTAAACAAAAATATTTGGCATTAAGCTTACAGTAACAATTATCAGTGTGAGATATTCAACCTTCAGTCTAACACTTCTTTTGATACTGTATAATGTTACCAAGTTTCGTCAAAATTTGTCAAGAATTAGACCTTCTAGAGTGTTTACGAGCTAAAACTTGAACGCTTTTTTAAGAACACGGTCAATAACTCAAAATAAATATTTTTCGATTCTTCTGATTTTAAATAGGGTTCATCCTTGGTTGATAACAAACACTCACACCAAGTTTCAGCAAAATCCGACAAGAGTTGTGGCTTCTAGAGTGTTCATGGGCTAAAAATTGAACGCGTTTTCAAGAACAATGGCGTAACTCATACTACAGTAACAATTACCAGTATTACATATTCAACCTTCACTTCATTTGAACATTTTGGGGCGATACTGAATAATATTACCAAGTTTCTGTCAAGAATTGGATCTTCTAGAGTGTTTATACAGGCTAAAACTTGAAGGCCATAACCCATATTAACAATTGTCTATTGTTTCTGATTTTCAATAGGGTTTATCCTTGGGTGATTACAAACACTCACACCAAGTTTCGTCAAAATCCGTCAAGTATTGTGTCTTATGAAGTGTTTACGAGCTAAAAATTTAACGCGTTTTCAAGAACAAGGGCAATAACTCAAACTTAATAGATTTTAATGTGATTACAACCATACCAAGTTTGGTCGAAATCAGTCAAGAATTGTGCCTTCTAGAGTGTTTACGAGCAATTCTGGACATACGGACGGACGTGGGTGACAACAATGCAAATGCAATTATTATAGGCCAGTATCACATTTGAGTATTGTAGTAAAGTTTTTGAGAAACACATCCAATGCCATCGACCAGCAAGGTTATAATGGATCAATATTCTGCGACACCGACACGTTTGGCTCTGAAATAATCTTGATGCCGTCGGGGTCAGAGGACAACTCCACAAATGGTGAATGACTTCCACAAAATCAAAGAACAATGTGTCGTAGCGAATGGATTCTCCTCTAAATCTCAAACGGTTTCAGCTGTTGTTCGGCAGGGTTCTGTCTTGGTTCATTATTAATTTTAATATGTATTGATGACAATGTAAAACACATACGATCGAATATACGTATATTTGCCTATCTGATCTATTGACGACCCGAATGCATGAATCCGAAGATGTTCTTAATCATTATCTTGAAACTATCAACAACTGAGCTAGAGCTGGTGACCTTTAGCACATTTTAAACGCTTCGTTTTAGAGGAATTGTAGAAACCACATACGTCTTCCTAAAGTTGGAATGGTTCAAATAATTGTCCCCGATACAAACTGATATTTTAGATACTTGAGACAACATGTGTTTTGCAACCTCACTTTTACAAATGGCAAAAACAAATCTAATGCCGTTAAAGGACCATTTTGAATGGGTTAAAAACGATAAAAACATCATTGTAAGAAAAAGCGATAATGGAAGTTCAGGTCTTATTTTAAGCCTCGATGATTATATTAAAGCGATCAAAAGTCAATTAAATAAACACAAACATTTCCAAGTTTAAGATACGCCATTTATTTTTAAAGAAACTGGAAGAATGATCAATGATATTCTAAAAACATCAATAGATAAAAAATATTCATCTCTGATACCTTTCGGCTAATGTTTCTGCGCGTCAGTGGCATATTTATACGCCCCCTAAGATTCACAAAAATCCATAAACGGAATGGTTTCTTGAGTCATATCTGATTTCGGAATATATTGACCATTTTTATTGCCTTTAGCTTGTAAACATCCGTCATGTCTTAGAGATACAAACGACATTATTGAAAAACTTTAAAAACTTCAAATTACCACAAATGCCTTTTTTGTAATTACCTGACGTCAACAGCATGTATACCATGTATTGATAAGGAAACAGGATTAAATACGGTTAGAAATCATTTGGAAGATAAAAAAAAAAAGACCAGATTCAGAAATAATTCTAAATTTATTTGAAATATGTTTAAACGGTTATGATTTTTCTCAACGGCAAAATTTAT